CACACACACACACACACACACACACACACACACACACACACACACACACAGAGACACACACACACACACGCGCACCCCAACCCCCCAACCAATCACTTCATTATAACAGAGTCCAGGAGGCTGGGAATCCTCCACAAACAACCCGGAGCAACAAGTACTGGGACCATAACCCAGCTTCGGTTCAGATGGAGGCTAAGACGAGTGACAGCTCTGGTCCCGATGGACCTCTGTTCTGGTACCTCCACTCTGGGAAAAAGAACTGCCACCAAGACCTGCAAAACCACACGAACCAGAAAAGAAACCCAAATAAGAAGCCACAGAACCAAGAACAGAGACCGGCTGACCAACTAATTTCCAACCAAAGGCCCCACAAACATGCCAATCTAAAGACTAGCCTACTACTACTACTAATATACTAGCCTATCTACTAACCACCTAACATGGTGGTTTGGATCATCAGATCCACGGCTCGAGCCAACACACACTCCCTCCATCATCATTGTCCCTCTGCCAGTCTCCTGCTAAAGAACCTCAAAAGGAAAACGCCAACCGAGTGTCCGGGATGGGGGCTCTAGCCCTCCTCAGCCCTCCTCAGCCCTTAAAGAACCAGGGAACTAGGACGAGCTTGCTCTCTACCACCTTTGCCATGACCTCATTGTCGGGACCGGCGGATGCCGCCTTCCTTGTTGCCTGAGCGCAGTACCTTCCTTCTCCAGTCGGCATACGTCTCAGTAGTGTCCTGAAGGGACACCTGGTTTGTTTGTCCGTGCCAGTCTTTGCCATTGAAGACCTTGTCATTCTTCTCGCTCTAGGTCACCGTAGTGCCTGCTGCCCGTGGTGTTTGGGCAACAGGAATGGTCGGAGATCCGTGCATCTGATACAGGGGGATCCCAGATGATCCCCGAGAAGGTCATCTGGGATCATCGGTGATCCCCCCCAACACCTGGTTTGTTTGTCCGTGCCAGTCTTTGCCGTTGAAGACCTTGTCATTCTTCTCGCTCTAGGTCACCGTAGTGCCTGCTGCACGTGGTGTAAGGTCATCTGGGATCCCCCCCAGCAGGACCATTCCTTTGTCCATGGAAAGCAACCTCTTGTGCGTCTGATACAGATCGCCGACCACCATTTCTAAATCCTCGCCAAGGCAGGGGGTGCTAAACTCCAAGTACCCTGACTTTGGTGATTTTTTATTTTAATTTTCCGCATTGAAAAATTCTGAAAAGAAATCATGGATGTTGATGAGGTTACTCCGCATTAGGGCGGGGGATATAGTTAATAATCGAAACTGGTTGCCCGTTAAAAATATCATCACCGAACTGAATGCATATTTCAATTGAAGCTGGCATGGCCCGACAGGCGTGAGGTTCCAGATTGGCCAGGCTGGGGGGGCGGTTCGTATCTTTAGGCTGGTGGTTTAGGATGCAGGGTAAAGGAGACGTTTTGAATAGGGTCAGGCTGTCACATGGTGAAGTAAGGAGAGGCAGTTAAAGGGAAACTCGAGGAAGAAAGGCAAGACTCGATGGCAGGTGCAGAGATTTTTCAATGCTGCAAAAGGAGCTGGCGATTACTGATCTGGGTGGCAGTATTGTCGTTGTTTCTGTTGTGCAGATGGGATGAAAAGTGGAGTCGGTCAGGAGGTTGCGAACAATGTCCGGAAAGCTACTTTGTCAAAGACTATGTCAATACAAGAGGCACGAATGATACTGGGTGTTGACGACAAAACATCGTGGGACGAAATTTCGCAGGTATGGAAAGATCCCCGCTTTTGGTTGCTCTTTGCTGTGTTTCTTTTTCTTTGATTTGTGTGTGTGTGTGTGTGTGTGTGTGTGGTGTTCATGCATATGCCTGTGGAGAAGGAAGCAGCTGTGGAGTCTTGAATGATGTGATTTATGCTGGATGAGGATAATGCACAATTGCAAAAATTGGTGTCGTATGAAGACACAACGCAAGCGCACAGATTAGCTTTTACTTCCATATCGTCTCCCAAGAAGTCCCCGGAATTCTGGCAGATTCTGTCCAAACTGTTCTATCTGGCTATCTTCCTTGCAAAGCAGGATATTCTATGGATGTGTGTAACACGCATGTTAGGAGCCTGTGCGAGAACTGTGTATGTGTGTGTGTGTGTGTGTGTGTGTGTGTGTGTGTGTGTGTGTGTGTGTGTGTGTGTGCGTGTGTGCCGTCGCGGGTGTACTACATCTTTATCTGCACCGAAGTCTTAACTCAAATGACAAATGGTCAATTCCAGGAATGCGAATTCAGAGTCGAGGGTGCTGCATAAATGCGTTGTCAGTGTTTTACATCTGGAGGCACTGTCAGCTCTTCGTACATCAATAACTACCTATAAAGCCAACAGAAAGAAGAATGACAAGAGAAGGCAAGTTGCCAGGAATAACACTCTCAATGTCTTTGTGATCGAGCAAGTGGCGGACACACACACACGCCCGTCAACTCTCAGGCATTACAAGGCTCTAGGTAAGTGTATACTGGGACAGTATGACCCGACCGAAAACCGTAACAGGGTAGACTACAGAAGGCCATTGTGACACGAGTTCTAGCACACAGACACTTGCTCTCTCTGGCATTGCAAGGCTCTATGTAAGTGTTAGACAGGAACAGTCCAAAATCTGTAACAGGGTAGACTACAGAAGGCCTCTGTGACGCGAGTTCGAACGCATTCAGAGCCGACAATGCAAAGGCGATAAGAGGATGCGCGGAGCGAGGTTTTAATGACGACTGTGCAAACCATTTAGGAGGGGAGGGCATTCAGAATCTGGCAGGAGCCTTAACACTGTTAACAGTCTCTAGGTTCAAACCTGCAACCCAAGCCGGGCGATCTTTGGAACAGGCTTTGACAACCTGCAGCTTGCCGAATGCTGTGAATCCTGTATGCGACACCTGCAGGTGCCATGCTCGTCTTGTATACAGATAACTCCCTATGCGTGCCCCAACGAGCCCCTGCTAAGTACATTGTACGGACGGGTGCAGGGTGTTGGTGCGGGCTGTTGGTGCAGGCTGTTGTCCTGGGCCGTCACCGGAGAAGAATCCTATCTTCATGTCTATCTTGCTTGCACAGGACAGGGCTACCTTTGGCATTGCACCGTAATTACCGGCGTATGTGTTATTTGTGTTCACAGGGACGCCACTTTTACGGTTGTATTGTTCATGCTGACGATCGTTTTTGATCCGTTGGACCGTTGACAAATAGTGATGAAGGAAGGGCGAAGTACAGCAGGATTTCTTTCGGCTGAATAAGGACGAAAACTCTCGTTAGAGCTTTTGAATGTTTTGGTGGGTGGGTGGGGGGGGGGCGAGGAACCGAAACAGTTGAAGTCTTTGAATTTCTCTGTTGCGAAGGTTGAACTCCTTTTTAGCAGTATAGCAACTAAATTGATGCTGATTAAGCAAGAAGGCAGGTCCTGCAGAAGGGACTGGGTTAACAGGTTGACTTCCCCGTCATCATATTCGTAGTATGGAAGTCACTTCACAGAGCCATGCGTGTGAAGAGGATATTATTTGGCGCACATTCGGAGTACCTAGTTCAAGAAAACGTGTTGAGTGTTAGTTGGGTAAGCAGACAAGTTGAAAAGCTTGTGTGGCGCCCACAAGGCATGACTATGTACAGGACTGGCCACATCTGCAATGCAGCAGCAATGAGAGAGAGGAGAGAGAGAGAGAGAGAGAGAGAGAGAGAGAGAGAGAGAGAGAGAGAGATGCTCTATATGGAGAAAGGTCCTGGAAAAAGAATTGCTTTGGGCCCATTCTCTACAGCTTGCTAACCTGGAAGCCATCTAGGTCCTAGGACATGAAAGTGTTGACATGTTTCACTCTGTGCACTGGTTTTATAGGTGTGTTCACTGGTTTATGTCAATACAACCTTGTGGGCGTGTCGACAGTGATATTTGTGAGAGTGTACGGGTCTGGATTTGAAGTCGAAAGCAGAGCCTTTTGTGCTTGCTCAGGGAGGAGGTTGTCCTGGTTGCTGTGCATAAGACATGGCCTTCTTTTTCTTGAGATGGAGTATAATATAGCAGTAGTCTGGAGCCTTCTGTCTTCCAGCCGGAGTTTGCTAGTAAATGGCTACACAGTGTTGGATGAGTGGATGTGTGGATGGATGGATGGATGGATGGATTAGGATCTGCGGACAGAACTGCTCCGCTCAGCTCTGATAATGCCCAAACTTAATGCTGCTCTCACAATCCTCGGAGTAGGTGCTGCGCTGACCGACATCTCGTTGACACTAATCAGACAATGGTGATCTGGCAATGATCATACTGGATGGTGATCTGACGATGATCGTGTTGGATCGTGATCGTACTATGATCAGACTGGATGATGGTCTTGCAATGCTCAGAGTGAATGCTGCTCTCACAATTCCCAGGGTGGAGACTGGTCTCCGAATGCTTCAGAGTTGGATGCTATGGTGGCAATGGTCTTACGAGTTGCTGCGTTTTGCTCTCATGGCGATTGTGGGGTGTGCAGAAGTTTGAAAATTTGTACGAAAGGAACGAGAAGATGGGCTCATTTTACATCCAGTCGAAAGTTCTACGAGCCAAGGAGGCACTGGAAGAAGTACATGTACCGGATGAGCAGCACCATCAGGAGGATCAACATCCATCGTGACACTTAGGAGCACAATCGGCATGTGCTTACATTGTTTCTGTTGCTATACCTCTCAACCCCTCTCTGCCCCAGCTCTGCTCATCTCTCTGCACCAATTCTTCTGGTAGTCATGAAGGTGTGCGCTAGCTGCAACCTTTGTCATGGAACTGAGGAATGGAAATGGAAATGGAAATGGAAAGCAGAACAGGATGGAAAGGAATGTGCTTACCTGGCTTGCTCAGCATCAGAGTGGAAGTGAGAAGGCCACGATGGTGTATGGGGTAGACCATTTGCGAGGCAGTCCCCTGTTTACAAGGGGTAAAGAGGAGAGTTGTGGTACCTTACTTCACGACGGAGACGTTTTGTTGTTTGTGAGAAGAAAAGAGGGCAGCGTTGCCAGTGTGTTACATCTTTGGCCTTGGGTGGAGGAAAATGGGAGGGAGTGGATGGTTTTGTTTGCTAGCAGACATGTATGTGGATCAGATTCATAAGTCCCTCAGGATGGAGGGAGAGAGAGCCGAAGGATTTGATCGCATGATTCTATATGGCTTACTTCCCAATACAGCTGCTAGAAGGGGGAACTACAAGGTAGGTGTTGCAGGTATTGGCTTGCCTGTGCCTGTCCCCTTGAAGGTGTTATGCTTGACGATGATGAGAATGGACGGGGTCTTGATTGAGAATTGAAAGGGTGTCTGATCGCCCCTTGTGTGGACAAACGAGTTTGTCCGGCCAAGGACCACGGCACAAGAATGCGGCCAACCGAGGTGCCGCCCTCCATTTTTTGCCAAATGTCCCCACACTATGACTCGTTTGTCCTCCTGGTCATTTGGCTATGGTTGTTGGTTTCCGACTTTTAGTTTGAGATCTGGAACTCAGCAGACAATTTAACAAACGATGTATTCTTTCCTTGTCCCCCTTTGTGTTTGTTATACTCAGTTTCAACTTTCAACTTTCGACTTTGAGCTTTGAGCTTTGAAGTCCGAAGATCTATGTTTAACAAACGATGTTATGACGCCACTCTTATTATGAGGTATCGGAACAACGAACTTCCAGTCCGTCAGAATTTGGATTTGGTGGCTTGAAGGAGGAGAGTCCCGTGTTGCGGGCCCTGGCGTCATGGGCTGGGCTGCTCATGAACTAACATCCGTAAGTGCCTTGCGACTTTCACGAAATGGAACCAACAGCATCCAATTTCTAAACTACTTGCTATAAATGCTGCTGCTGCTGTGTTGGCAATAGTGTGTTGTGATATGTTGATGTTTGAAATTATACTTTTTGTCATTTCATTTTTGCTTGCGATAATTTTGACCGTGATTTGATCAAGCGAAATCGTGTGATGCCATGTATTCCCACTGTCTGTCGGTCTAACCAGCTTAGCAAAAATGGTTCGCACTCCATGCTAAGCTTCTATCGCAGCTTCCCACGTCTCATTTTGGAATGCAGAGCATCTCTCCACTGCATTGTGCGTGATCTCTACCCTGTGGTTAAATGGGAATGATTGCTTTCGCCATTAGCTGTGCCGTCACACCTTACGGGGGTTTGAAATGCCACAACTGTGTGGATGGTTGGATGGCCACAACAGAGATGCAGAGGTGGGAATCACGCTCTTCCACGTGCTTTCCGTACCCCTCCACGACTGTTGTACCGCATCTCCTGAACGACAATGTTTTTTTTTTTTTTTCGGTTTCCGAGGTCACCATCTTTCTTGGTTGGAATGCCACAGACCTTGGGGTAAGTGGTTCTTCTCTCCATGTACTTGAGAACGGGGAGGTGGTGAGTAATCTCTGAAGTGATGTGAATGTCCACTAGTGTAGATTCCGAACTGTATCTCCGCTCCGATCCTCTGGACAGATTGAAGCCTCAACCGATTCCTAGGGCAGCGATGGGCTGCAAGACCAACTGTCTAGTGTCCTCAACTACAAATAGAACTGGCATCAGATACTAGGTCAGGTTGCAAAGCTCAAATGTGAAGTATTAAACCACCACTCCATCCGGACGTATTTTGACAAACCAAAATTAGCATCTCCCGGAGCCTGAAATCTGCAGTGCCGCTGTGAGGAACAATAGTTGTGGTACCCTTAGGGCGTCGTACCCACACAGCGGTGGCATAGCAGCAAAACCTGCAAATTTTGATATCCCTATTTTGCTGAAATGCCAACCCGCTTGGTCACATAGCGGCAGCAAATCAGAGAAGACACGAGCGGGACTTTCTTGGAAATTGGCGAAATGGTGCCTCGCGTGGTCACACAGCTCGAGGCCCAAATCCTTCAACCTTTTTTTTCTTTCAACAAAGTTTGTTTTAAATTTCCTTTCACGAACTCTCGAACCGGGGGAAAAAAATTGCTACCCCACCTCCAGAGGTGGTAGCAAAATGCCCCTCCCCGCAGCCCGCCAGGCCGCTGACATTTGATACCGCGTTCGCTGCTTTTGCGACTTTCCCTGCCTCGTGGGACTGGCCCAACCATCAAATATTTGCTATTTTTTGCCCTAAAAGGCCCTAGTGTGAGTAGGCCCTTAGCCATTGAACCTCTACCAGGCCTGGGCGCTGTAGATTTTGGCCTGGTACTTGATGACAAGAAAAATGAACAGTGCAGGGGCCGTCGTTGGAGTGGTGGTTTTTAAGTGCAACTTGCGTATCACATAGGAGGAATGTTGACTGACTGACACATTTCAAGCTTCATTTTCAAACAGGTCAGGCTGGCAGACGCATTGGACAGCTGGTCCTGAATGGTTTTGTCTGCGATTTGGTAGGGGAGGAGAGTGTAAGCTGTGAATTGCGTCAAGCAACAAGCCGTGACCACACCACCTGACTTGGAACTCTGCTCGAGTCCTGAAAGTCTAGTCGCGGTGGTAGCAGTAGCAGTACTTCGTTTCTCTACTCGTCTATCAACCGATCCTCCTCCTCCTCCTCCACCTCCTTTTGCTGCTGCTGCGGTGCCATTATCACCAAACTTGACCAAAGTCGTTGTACAGGGCTGCGGGAGACATTTTTTTGTTCTGCAAGGGGCTAACACTGATGTTCATGGGTCAACGGTCATTCTCCCATCACCGGAAATTACAATGTTTTGTTAGAGCCTACGTTCTTGTCTATAATGCCATAAGACTGTGTCAGGTCTGACCGCTGTCTCTCGTGATGCCTGTCAGTCCTCTGTCAGCCCTTCATCGAGGCAGATTCCCCCCTTAAATCCGCAGGTGGTTAGCACATTTATGGATGCATGAAGGAAGTATTCGTAGCTTGGCCCACCTGTCTTCCAGGGTAGGTACTAGGTAGTGCAGGCGCTCTTGTGAATAGGTTTTGTTCTGGACCACAACGGTGGTTCGCAGGTGAATAGAACTGCAGGATGCCCTGCGGTCACTTACCTGAGTAGTAATATGTACACTGTACACTGAGCAAGAACCGTGGTTTTTTTTTGGGGGGGGGGGGGGGGGGGGGGGGGAGAGGGAGAGAAAGAGGAAAGGGGGAGGAATCTGCTTGTGCGTGTTGGCAACAAGTGTCTTCTTGCCCTCCGGGTGTGTTGCTTGTCTCATCTTCTTCCTGTTACCTATTCCGATGGACTTCCTGAATGAACTGCATTTCCGGGTGCGCAACCCTCCGCCAGTGTCCATGGCTGGTAGCTATCGAGATAGACTTCCTGACTGAACCACATTTGTAGGTCGGCAAACCTTGAGAGTATCAACAAGGTCTATGGAGGTTCGGCGTTAGTGCTCGTGATGTCAGTGCACACTATAGCTTCAAGTCTCTACACACCGACTCTCGATCGCCATCAGATGCTTCCAATCATGGTGGTGTTGGTGTTCCTAAAAACAAGGTTGACTCGTGAAGTCCATTCTTGCTCTTCTGATGCTAGTTGGCATGGTTAGGCCTGTCGGGTACTCAGTCCTCCGTGCCCACATCTTTAGGGCCTGTGGGTCTCGTTTCCTTTCTGGAAAGGAAGAGGGGCTGGGAGCAGCCATGACGGAACCACAGTCTATGCCCAGTGTGTCTTTATCTGTTGAAGTTTTGTTTTGTTGTTTGACAAGTTGGGGACTCGAACCACGGCAGGCTTTTGGGTAGGCCTATCTGGTAGGCCTTCGTGTAGCTTAGTTTAGGTTCGGCCTTCTTCCTCGACATCCATCTTGGTTCTTGATCGAGGAACGAAGTCGAATTTGAGTGAGATCATCGCTGTGGTGTCAGAGCTAGCAACGATGGACGATGATGGGCCACATCATCATGCCTGGAATGGCACCAAATCATCATCCTGATTTCTTACGCCATGTCAGCACGGTGTCATGTGAGTGCCACAGTAGCATGCTATGTCAGCACCACATCGCTACTGGCCACAGTATATACCATTTTGCTTGTTCTTTCACAATACAGAAGAGAGCAATTGGGAAGTGAAAAGGGATGGTATAGTTGAAGTTGGCAGAGGTGAGAAATGAGCAGTGAGGCAGGCCACCAGTGGCAAGACGCTATGCATATAGCCTAGGGTAGAGAGACCTTAGTGTAGGAAAAGAAGCATGGTAAGGAAGAGCACCGGATGCACAGTGATACGGTAGCGGTGCAGAATCTGACGTCGTGAAGGGACTGCAGGAGCTCCAAGCATCAGAATTTGCCTGCAGAATCTGCTGTTGGGCTTGCGATTATTGTTATCTTACTTCTTCTTGGATTTGTGGCACAATTGAAATGCTGCTGCCTTGGTAGCAACCACTTGTGTTTCAATTTCTTCAGGTCTGTGTTTCATTGCTCTTTATGAGGTTGCACTGGGATCCAGTGCTTGTTATATTGAATTGGCACCATGGATTTTGTCAGAAATGTGAGAAAGCAGGCAGAGGCGGCCACAAAGCGTTAGCAGAGAAAATGAAGGCAGCAAGTGGCAAGGAGAATTTGATATCAGACGCCAAGAGAATCGCGGAGGAGAGCAGGGGGACTGATGCGGAGACAATGCTGAGAGAGCCTGTGGCGTCCTCCCCACGGTCAACATCGACTGCCCACAGAGGCAAATCATGCAGCTGTCGCATCAATTATTGGAGCAGCTGATGCAGGAAATCGTGCAACAGACACAGGGCAGAAGGGACATCCTTTCCTTTCCAGGCTGTGAGTGCCTACACTTCTCCCTAACGAAGGGATCTCAGAGGGCTCTTCCACACTACCTGCACTGGTGCAGACAGCAAGACAGGTTGGGATCCCGGGACTCGCCTGAACAGGCATGGCGTAGTGGCGTGAGCCTACCTGGAGTCAGGGAGCGACCATGGCGCAGGTCGCACAAACCGTGCCAAACACTGACACAGGGAGAGCACACTGCAGCAACCTGATGCCTTGAAAGAGAAAGGTGATAAAGTTATGGAGGGGTGGCTGGAGATTGTGAGTGGGTAGCTCCATTAGCATAATCTCATGACAGAGTTGATTTTGAGCCAGTGTCTCTCCGTCACATTTGGGGAACGCATCCAAGTCATGGGCCTTGTTAAAGGTCAGGAAGGAGAGGAAACTTGACTTCCGTCCCAGAAAAGTACACACTGCAGGATTTCTCCTTAAGGAAGGAGAAGGCATATGAAAGGTTAAGGCAATAGTCCCCAGAGGCTCTTCAAAGGACCATAAGGGGACTCCATCTGATCGGAGAGTTCGACAGAATTTTTCAGACACCAGATTTGGGGTCGAAGAGAGCCCCATCATGTATATGCTTATGAGCGCCCTCCCCCAGAGATTAGGAACCGTCCAGGGCACCAATCAGGAAAATGAGATCAAGAACTGCAGGTGAATGGCAGGTGAGGCCCTGAAGTTGGAACAGGCCACCAAGTCTGGTGGGGCATGGGGCAACCAGGAGTCCAGAGAGTGGCGGAACTGGCTACCAAGTCTGCCGGGGCGTGAAAGAAACCATAGGCTGCACTGGAGTCAAGCAGGGGCTGGTCCAAGGGGAATCATCAGACTGGTACAGCAACGATGAGAAGGGTGACGGCCATTCAGATGATGGTGGAGAGTGTCCTGGGCAGCAGCAGGAACAGGTTTACGTTCAGTCCGTCCTTGCTGCGATGCAGCAGGTGATAGTGAATCCCCAGAAAGGGCAGCAGCAGTGGCAATCAGTGGGAAAGAAGAAATCGGGTGCAGCAGCAGTGGCAATCAGTGGGAAAGAAGGAGAAATCGGGTGCAGCAGCAGTGGATCCTAGATGCATTGGAGAGAGTTGGTGA